TCTAGTGTATTCCTAAATCCTACCCAAGCTTCCTCGACAGTCCGACTTGTATCAACTGACCAGTCAACCACAGTTGCTGCGTTCCGGATTCCTTGTATATCCGCTTTCCAAATGTTTGGACGAGCAGATTTTGGCCTGTGCATGAGAGAATGAATCCTAAACGTAAAAGCAATGACTATGTGGTCACTGCTGCCAAGCGGCGGAAGGCACCTAATGTTACCAACGTCCTCCTTCTGGTGTGTCAATACCAAGTCTAGAGTAGATGGATCATGTTCAGGGTGATACCGTGTTGGTGCATGCATATGTTGCACGAGTGCACATTCAAGCACTGTCAATGTGAGCTCCCTATTGAAACAGGTATACAAACTAGTGGAGTTTAATTCCCCCCAATTAATATGTGGAGCGTTAAAGTCGCCAACAATCAGACACCTATTTCTACTACCCCACGCCCTCAAGTGATTTAGAACGAAGTCATCAGCTTGGCTAGCAGGACTTCTGTAAATAACTCCGATCGTTAAAGTGCCTTTGTTTAAGTTAATGATGCAACTTGCGGCTTCACTGGTGCCGCTGTCATGAGCTTCTGACAACGTTGACCTGATCCCTATGTCATCCCGGATGTATAGAGCAACCCCCCCACCTTTCCGACTACTTACTCTGTCTGCTCGTATGCAGATATACCCAGGTATGAGTGGAGTTAAGTCTACACCCACTAACAACCACGTCTCAGTGATAGCAATTACATCAGGTTGTAGTCTTTCAGATAACTCTCCTAATTCGGCGAGCTTATTCCTAAGACTACATGCGTTCGTATAGCACACCGAAACACCTACGTGTTCACCCGGCTTATGAAGAGAGGTCTCGGCAGCATCGGTTTCCGAGACCTCACCACCCGAAAACCCAATAGTTTGAGGTCCTTTTCGCCTTTCTCTAGCCTGGCCTTTAGTTCAGCCACGGCTTCTCTTCTTTTGATTCTATCTTCCAAAGGCCAATCAGGCCTTATTTTTAGACTTTTGTCGTTGACTTTGAACGCGTTGTCGAGGATGGTCCTCCTCTCTGTTTCGTTCCCTAAAACTACCTTAAGTAGTCGTCGAGGAGTTCCTGTAGCATCAGGGTTTCGTTTTCCGATCCTGATAGCCTTTCGTACGTGTACTCCAGTTGTTTTTTCGGGAAGTATTTCCCGGAAAATGGAGCTGATCGCCTTCAGATCATCTGCATGTCGGGCAGCTGGATCTGTGTTCTTAGATTCCTCCAAGTTCCAGATGATAATACTGTAACTAGAGTCCGTGGGTTTCTGAGTTTTGCTGGTACTAACAGTCGTCGAGACCTTGTTGGTAAACTCGGCTACTGTTTCTTTCCTAGTTTTGTTTTGCTTCTTACCTTTCGGCAGCAACCAAGTGGAGTCCGTTTCTCCTACTCTGTTTTCGCCGCGACTAGAAGCCATTCGTGCACTAGACACGCTGCGCTTTGGCGTTGCTATTTCACAGGCTGGTTTTGCCATGCTGGCACTACTTGCCCTTCTGGATTTCCGTTGCCTTTTGCGCTTTGCAGCAACAGATGTTTGGGCATTTTGTGCTTCTTTCGCTTCTGAGACTTCAGGAGGTGATGCATCCTGAATCTTACAACTATGTCCTGAACCGCCATCCTTGGCTAAGGTTTCTGGTACAGGCTTTTCAACTATGTCTTTCGACAATTTCTTGGACATCAAGAGTCCTACTGCCTCTTGGATGAGGACATCTAACGGGTTGCTGCAAAATTTGCACAGCCATGGAGATGATGGCTTGCAACATCTCTTATAGGCTACTGGTGTTAAACCAGTGCGAACTTTGTGGAATCAAAGGCTGCAGTTGTCACACTGAACGGACGTAGGAAACAGCTGGCGGTAAAACCATCACGTCCCCAGCTCAATCAGGAAACTAAATCCGTATTTGAGGAAGAACTAGCTAAACACATATCTGTGTTCGACAGCTGTGCTCACCCTGAAGAAGCTTGGAAAAATATCCAGGTAGCCATAGATACAGCTGTAAAAGCTGTGAATAAGGTAAAGGTGAGTAAAAGCCACTGGATCTCCACCGCCTCATCCGAACTGATAGATGCTAGAAGACTTATTCCGGCGAGCTCCGAATTCAATGAGGATCGAAAGCTGCACAAGAGGAAACTTACGAAAAGTCTCCGCAAGGACCGAGAACAGTGGTGGGCGACAAAAGCCAGAGAGATGGAGAAAGCTTCGAGGATAGGCAACTCTTTAGACTCATCAGGGAAACGGGTGGGAGAAGACAAATCATCAGTGAGACAATCTCGGAAAAAAATGGCACTATAATTAGCTCCCAGGATAGACGACTGGATCGTTGGAAAGAGCATTATGAGGAGCAGTTTAATTTGCCCACAGCCACGCTCAACCTTCTGAGCATCCAACACCTCCCTGAATGGGATATAGAAACAGGTCCTCCGTCCCCAAACCTAACTGAGGTTACTAAAGCTGTCACCAATCTGAAACTAGGCAAAGCAGCGGGACCTCATGGGATGACTCCAGAGGTATTTAAGTACGGTGGAGACAGTTTACTGTCTGCATTAACTGAGGTACTAGACAGCGTCTGGGAATCAGAGGACGTCCCATCGGGCTGCTGTTGTAAGTCACTGATTATCCCGATATACAATAAGGGAGAAAAGTCTTCTTGTGATAATCACAGAGGGATTAGCTTGACTAATATAGTATCTAAAGTCTTAGGCTCAATAATATTGCGTAGACTAAGTGGTACTCGGGAGGCACAATTACAAGATAACCAGGTAGGCTTTAGACCAGGAAGAGGGTGTATTGATCATATCTTCACCCTCCGACAGATTCTAGAACATAGGCATTCCTACCGGCGTCCAACAGTCATTATATTTCTTGACCTAAAGGCAGCATTCGACTCTGTCGATCGGGAAGTTCTCTGGAGATGCTTGGCTGTAAAGGGAATTCCAAGAAAATATATTGCACTGATTAAGGCACTCTACTCGTACTCATACAGCCAGGTGAGGGCTTACGGCGAGCTGTCATCTGAACTGATGACGACCAGTGGTGTCCGTCAAGGATGCCCATTATCTCCTTTTCTATTCAACTTCATCATAGATGTGTTAATGGACTTAACCCTAAGTGACTTCAGCGACTCAGGGATTGACTTGCTACCGGGGAATAATCTCTTTGACTTAGAATATGCAGACGATATAGTCCTAGGCGAAGACGCTGACGAAATGCAGAGTCTTCTAAACACCTTGAGCCGCAATCTACGAATGTTTTGCATGCGATTCGCTCCCGCCAAATGCAAGATGATGTTACAGGACTGGACTACATCGACGCCTAGTTTAAAAATAGGAAGTGAAGTGGTAGAGCACGTTGGCCGCTTCAATTATTTGGGAAGTACCATCAGCCAGTGCCAACGGGTTGATCTCTGACGAAATCTCAGCACGAATACAAGGGGCTCGTTTCGCATTTGCCAGTTTACGCCGTCTCTGGCATAGACGAGATATCCGGCTGGCTATCGACCAAAGGGCGGGTGTACTGCTCATCAGTCCGCTCCGTCCTCCTTTATGGTTGTGAGACCTGGCCACTGAGAGTGGAAGACATGAAAAGCTTAGCTAGTTGTCTTTGAACATAGGTGCCTGCGCTCTATTTCCCGTGTAAAGTGGCATAATAAGGTGAGCAACATTGAAGTTAGGCGTCGAGTTCTAGGTAAACAGGGGAAATCAATCGACAAAGTCGTGAAGTTACAAAGACTGAGATGGTTAGGACATGTGTTACGTATGCCAAGCCATCGCCTCCCTCGACGAGCTATGTTAGCGGATATAGGGTCAGGCTGGAAAAGAGCTAGCGGCGGTCAAACAAAAACTTGGCATCAGTCAATGAAATCCACAACAGTTGGTCTAAGCCACGTAGAAAGGTGTAGACTTCCAGGCTGGGGTCCTCGGGACGGTAAAAATCTATGGTTGGAAACAATTGGTGACATGGCTCGAAACCGTTCTCAGTGGTGCAGATGCATCCACTCCCTGTGACTTATGATCTTCAATGAAACTGTTTTGTATTTCTTTATTACTCCTTTGTCTCACACCTTTGCTCACTGTTTCTATTATGCTTTTCTTGTACTTTCTTCTCTTGCTTCGCGTGCTACACGGAATGTGGCGACTTGAACTTCCGCACATTTGTGCAAAGTTCTATGTCGAAAACAGACAGACAGACAGCTGTCACACTGCATCCCATCATCCACCGGAAAGTGGCAGTCCGGTCGTCCACAATTGTTATTTGGGGCTATAATTTGAATTTGTTTCAACTACACAGTTATATGTACGTGAAAACAGCGAGGTTAATACCAAACAAATACACATATATATATGCGTGTGACAGCTAGGTAACTACCAACCAAAACACAAAATGTGAATAAAATAAACAACACTTCAACCAAATAAATCAGTTAAAGTGAACTAAAAGCTTCTGATGTGGTTTAAACAACAAAAGCAGAATTTACTTCACAACGTCAAAAATGCCACTCTCCTTTTTCAAAGCCTAAACATTATCAGATAAACGAACTCGAAGTAAAAAGGCCTGTGACTAAGTAGTGTACTCAGATGAAGACTATATTTTTACCACTGATTAAATGTCAAATCCGATAGATAAGAATGCTGTACAACTTATCTGTTGGCTGATTTAAGTTTATAACTTGGGCACTGTGGTAGAGCACATATGCATATATAATGGAGTTATAACTGCATTATGGATAAAATTTTATTTTGATAAATCACACAGCGTTGTACAGTAATATTAACTGATGACGTTTCGAGCACAAACTATTGTTCACAATCATATCAAGCTCTGTTGACTCATTGGGGTAGCAAGCTCATGAGTGCGCTTAATGACAGTACTACGAAGTAGAAAATAACGTGCGAGCAATTACACTGTAAGAACAGTGAAAGCAGGACATCCTACTACATGAATGCGTTAGAACAAAAGCTTGAATGTCGCCACATACCAATTAAAAATTCCAAAATTCGAAATGCACGGCAAAGTTCCCCACGGATCCGAACGCACGAGTGACCTTCAACCAACCAATCATAAAAATGAGGTATTTTGCACAAAAAATAACGTACATTTACAAGAAAATGCATGAAAACACATTAAACAGATTATCTTTGTCTGACATGACTTAAAAATACGCCCCAGTTATGATGAAGAGTATCAGTTGCTAAGTTGGACTAGTTTCTGTAGATGTATTCACCGAAGTGACTGAAGATGTACTGTTTTATGAATCGTTTATCTCTCTTCTCTTGCTGTGTAGCCCTCTCCAAAGCCCTCGGTTAAATTACTATGGTTTTAGTAAGAGGATCGACGACTACATACAGGGAAAATGAGGATAATAACAAATATTGAAATAAACGACATTAACTATCAATCTCTCCCTAATCGCAACCCTAACATTAATCCTGACCCTACCCTAATGACAATCCTTATCCTGTCGTAAACCTAACCCTAATCCCAATTATGACCGTATCCCTAACCCTAACCCTAATCCTAACCCTAACCAGATGTTAACACATTGTCTAAACAGTAATTAAAAGCGTGATCTGGGTGAAACTTGCTCCTTATTTGATTAATAGGGTTGATATTTCAGCCATGATCATGACAAATGCCGTTAGCCAACGACTAGCATGCGTTCAACGTCAGTGAAGCGTTCACACTCCTGGGACGCTATTGTTAAACTCCGCCACTACACTTCTTTCCAACTGAATCTATGCCTCAAGGTCGTCTAAGGAGTGAAATACTCGAAGGTCATTCTGTCTATGTTAGTCGTCCACTTACCACCACATTTGCTTATCAAAATTCTAAGTTCATCGGCTATTTCAGATCTCTTATTCAGATTTAATGGTTGAGGATGGAAGGCCTGAAGACCGTGTTAGTTCCTGTGCGTCGGTGGCACAGTGGCTAGGACTCTCGCCGAACATGCATATGGTCTGAGGTTTGGTCTTCTGCCGACGCACATTTCATATCTATGGTCGACCTGCGAAATTTGGGCTATGCTGAAAATTCCATGCTTGTACCCAAAAATACAGTGTGAAATCAAGCTATAACCAAAAATATAAAAATTAGATAGTAAAATATCTGTATAGTTGCCCAAACATACTTGAGTGAACAGTTGAGAATGCAGACACTTTTTCTGGGAGTCAGTTCCGAGAGTTTATGACTCGGTGTGAGGGCCAGTACTCCACAGAAATTTGATTTCTTCTTGACTTTTGAACTCTATTGCTATGTCCTCTAAGGTGTTCCGGCCTGGTTGGAAGGAGCTAGAGAATAGGTCGGGTCCGTAGTCATTAATTAAATCTCCTCTCTGCCTACGGCGAGATAGGGAGAGGAGATTTAAACTTTCTAGTCTGTCGTCGCATGATAAATTAGTCATGCCAAGAATCATACATGTTGCCCTTCCCCTTTAAGACAATGACTAGCCGCCTGAGTGCAGTTTTCCAATCTTGACCTCGCCAGAGAAGTATATGAAGAGGTTAATATATCTCTGTTGATTCTAGTAAAGGCTCTGCTAATTGCCCATAAGGATCCGAAACTACCTGCAACCACCGCGCGACAGTGCGCTGTAGTTATTAAATCGTGACTTACTATGACATCTAAATCCAGATGAGTTTGAACTGGTGACAGTGTTATTCCCCCTAGTTCGTAAGATCTTATGCTTGCTTGGCCGATGCTCATGGCTGCACATTTCGCTAAACTGGTCGATAACATCCATTCTACGTACCCCTCCGTCAATGTTTTTGGATCCTATTGCAACGTGAGTGTGTCGTCGTCGCCCTTCAGCTCTCTTCAGATTGATAAGCCATCCATGTATGGGGCCTTAGGTGAAATAACTAATTGATATACAAAATAAATAGGAGAGATCCAAGTACTGTGCCTTGTAGCACTCCGCTACGCATTGCTATCCAGTGGGAGAGTTTCGAGTTGGTCCTAACCCTCTGTCTCATATCTATGAGTAATTCGTTAATTTCAGTAAGCTGCCTTTGATACCAGGACATTTCACCTCATGTGTGGTCTTTTATGAGGAACTTTATCGAAGGTTTTGCTGAAGTCTATTTTCGCGAACTGTACGGAGTACATTAACGCAAGATCTTATACCAACGACTTCTATCTTATTTGTTTCTCGTGTACCAAAGGCAAAGCAAAACACCACAATCGATTGTCCAAATTATGAGATATATTTCGGAACCAAATCACGGATTGAAGCGGAAGCCAAGCTAGCTAGTTATCGTGCACTAAATTGACACGACGTAGCACCAAATGGCGGGGATACTTGACCGGAAACCTTTAGCCAAACGAGTCTAATTAAACTCGAAGGGTCAGCATCCAATGTTCACTGATGATTCCTATGGTCACAATGTAATTCTTCTCTTAAACATAATCTATGCCCTGTGAAGATGACGTCAGCGGGTCTTCTGTTGTCCCTTGATCTGACACAGCTTTACTTTGCAGTATGAAGATTCGACAGGAATGAGGAGATACCTCAGAAGCCATCCTGTGCTCTGGATACCATTGCTGTCTACCAGATATGTCATGATACTTTCCGTGATGATTCTTTCCAGTGTTTTGATTAAAGTGCTGGTGAAACTTATACGCCTGTAGTTTGAGGGAATTATACTGATCCTCCCAAGTGGATGGAGGTTACTGTGGAGCCTTTCCAGTCATGCGGTGACCCTCCATTTAGGAGACAGCTCGGAGATCGTGGTCAGCGGGCCGGTTATGTGAGCTGATAACTTCTTGAGAGGTCTTGGATGAAGATTATCCGGACCTGTCGATTTCCCTGCCCCCAAGCCTCATTAGGCAGATGAGCACGATGTTTTGGTTGACGTCAACAAAATGTATCCCGTGTTCCTCTAATTCAGCCAGAACTGATCCTATGGGTAGTGACGACTCCTGTGTAAAGACATGAAAGAAGTAATCCACCAGTGCTTCTTTTTTCTCTTCATCTTCGATTGTGTCAATGTCAGTAGTCAGGTTTGGGGCACGACTGGATGCTTTGTTCCTGAAGTTCATGTACGAGAAAAGTTTCTTAGGTTGTGTCGTTGCATTTAGAGCCACATATGCTTTGAAACCCATCCTAAATTGGCGGATTTCTGCAACAGTTCTGTTCCTAAGGGTTTTTTATAATCTTCTGGTCTCAGAAGTTTCAGTTGTGGCGAGCAGCTTCCAAAACTTATTTTTATGTCTGAGTAACTAACGAAACTCTCGGCTTATATAAGAGGGCAATGTTTCCCATCCTTAAAGGAAGAACAGGGGATATAAGTTTCAGTCACTTGAGCATAAAGTTGTTTAAACTGGTTCCATGCGGATTTTACTTGGGACTCTGGGTTTGTGTACCAGGACACTGAGTTGTCTGCTGAGACGATCGAATTAATATCAACCTTCCAAACATTTGGTCGAGCTCGGATTTTGGCCCATGACACTGAGTCCAAAGTTGAGGAGTGCTGCAATTTATGGCGCGTGAGCTTCATGACTGCAAGTCTCCGATGTCCAAGAGCCTAGCTTCTCTGTTTGAAAGTCGTCTGCCCTGCACTCCGGACTGCAGCATATAGCAATGAGGTCAATTTCTTGGCCTTCGCATTCAAGTCTGCAGCGTGAATGTTCTCGTGATTCCCTCTCGTGGGCGGGTGCTTCGATGCCACACGCGGTTAAACATTTCTTGAAGTAGATGACAGCGTCACCTTCCATATGACTCAGTCGGTCCACCCTCCGCACTTCGGGGTTTAACAAGTTAACTTCGTTTTCAGTGGCATTGGGTGTGACCCATGATCTGTGATGATAATGACATCCGAATTTCCGGAATTTATCATATTAACCACCTCTGCCTGTCTGTTCATCGGGCTGCAGGCATTTGTGTAGCAAACTTTCAACTCAGTTTGGAGGTTCCGCAGCCTACCCACAGAGGTTTCAGGTTCATCAAACTTCGAGCTTTGACAGCCCGAAAATCCCCAATCTTCACGTTCTTTTCGCTGTTTCAGTGTCATTCACTTAATTCTGAAGCCTCAGAATGTCTTTTGACGTGGTCTACCATTGTGTTATTTAATAATGAAATGAAAGGAGGCTTCCAGTATCTTATGAAGCGTTGGCTTTTCCAAGCCTTATTCCTTTTTCAGCAGAGAATTAATAATAATATTTTTATTTCTGGAACAGAAACCAGCCATTTTTACAGGAATGAACATATGTCCACTTATTAGAACTTATAGAATATGTGATGTGATTTGTTAATTAAGAAATAAGTTAAATGCCGGTAAATGTGAGAAAAACATTGAAAAAGAAATGTACAAATAAGGAAATAGATAATTTTTGAGGTCTGCTTTCAACCGAATAATTCATAAGATATAGCGTCAAATCTAAACTGTGAGGGAAAAAAATGCATGTTAATTTCAATTATAAATGATTGCGTTAGTTGTGGAAGGTAAGTAACATTTTTTTCAGGTGCTGACATGATACATAAGAGATGCAGAATAAACAATAATTATCAGTAAATGATTCATAAAGTGTTTCAAAGTCTATAAAACTTCAAATTCACTCGTAAGTACACTATATTTGTGACATTTCCAGTTGTATATGAGACCGAATTCGAACTTGTCAGCAGATTTTATAATATAGGTGGTTCCATTATAAACCAGATAAGATAGCAATATCACGAATAATTGGAGAATAGCAGCGCTATATCAGCACCTTCGTTGAAGGTAGTACCTTTGAAAAGAGAAGACACAAGAGAACCGGCAGAGAGGTGCAGAAGTATATAAAAGGTGTTAATAATTCAAAACACATAACAGACATGGGGTTCATCATTTTTTATTGCTTTTTTTTAAGAAATATTATTTCCCCGATAATCTACAGTCTTTTCTGCGAACAATTAGTTTAAGTGAAAGACAGGTGATAATTTCACCCACTTATGTAGGTTGAAAAGGAGTTAAACACAAAAGTCAAAGTGCCTGAACTATGTAAAAGAAAAGCGAGGGCCTAATAATACATACTGTTTTTCTGAAGTATACAGTTAGGTGTCCTTCTGAAGTATCGG